TTTTTTTTTTTTTTTTTTTTTTTTTTTTTCCTGTGGTTGGACTCGATGATCTCAGAGGTCCCTTCCAACCACTAAGATTCTGTGATTCTGTGATCTACACTTGTGTGACAGCATAGGAAGCGTCAGCGGGAAAAGAGGGCTCTTAGTGGCAAACGGAGCCCCTCGAATGCTCACCCATGGCCCCCATGAACTGTGTCCCCGAGTCCTCTCCTCGCTCCCTGCCACAGCGACCCCAGGCCACCCCACTCACGCGTCACCGTCAGGCAGACGAAGAGCTCCCTCAGCCCCACGGGGTTCTGTGCCTTGCAGACGTAGCAGCCCCCGTCGGTGTCCTGGGAGCAGTTCCGGATGGTGAGACGGGACACGTTCCCCTCCTGGGTGATGAGGTACCTCCCTCCAGCTTGGATCTCCACCTCGGGCCGGCTGATGTCCCGCAGCCAGGTGATCCTGGCCGCCGGGGTGCTCTCCGTCACACGGCACGTCAGGGTCACATCGTCACCAACAAAGCAGGTCTTTGGTGCCTCCGATTCCAGAGAAGGCATTTCTGAACAGCCCAAGGGGCAAAAAAGAAAAAGGGGAAAAGAACAGTCAAGGAGGGAATGGAGGAGTTTAACATAAAAAGCAATCAGCTATCTGGCTGATTAATAATCATTAACAGAAGGAAGTCAGACAGGAGTCTGGGACTTGTGCACTGTGGGTTTGGCATTCTGCCTGCTCACGAGCCTTCCAAGGAGCCATCTGAGCAACTTTGTCCCTTTTTTGACACCTGTCTTTACATCCCCAGGAAAGCAGGGTCGGAAGGCAGCCCAGGGATTTTCCTTGGGATCAGCAGAGCTCTTGTGTAGCCCTGACAACCCTTGGAGGATAAATACAGCCTGGGTTTTCAAAAGCCACTTTAGTCAGACCCCTCAGATCTTTGAAAGGGGTCTGGGGACACGCAAGACCCTTCTCCTATAAACCCAGCCCTACCAAACTTAATCTCAAGCCCAGCAAGGTGCTAAACCCACCTCTCACACAGACAAAAAGCTTGGTGTGAGGACATTTGTTGGCCCCTGAAGAGGTACCCAAAACACAACCCACCTGCAACTACACCCTGATGGATCTCAGCTGCAGCACTTCCTTGCCTCGTGCAGTCACCTCTGCACAAGCCAAGCCCTGCCACGCTGCCTCCTTAGCATCTCCCCTTGAGGCCAGCGCCCACAAGTAGAGAATGACTGGGGTACCTGTCTGCCCCACCATTAGCAGGCTAATTAATAGCTAATAAGGTAGGCAAGTCAACTCACTTATCTCCACAGTGCATGCAGGCTCCTCCTGGTTGACGACGTGGCTCCCCACGCACTTGAAGACTTTGTGGTGGGAGAGGTGGGAGCTGTTCAGTGTTTCCACATGGGTGTCCGAGGAGCTCGTGGAGCTGATGACCCAGCTGGAGTTCTCCAGATCATGCCCCTCTTCTCTCCAGTGCAGGGTGGGGTGGGGGTACCCCCCAGGCCAGCTGCAAAACAGTTGCAGCATCAGCCCCGATGAGGAGGTTTCAGCCCAGCATTTTGGGGTTGAGTGCGGTGGATCTATCAGTAAGAATGGGACATGGTTAGGAACATTTCCAAGTGACAGCTCGTGGCATCTCAGGGCTGGAACCCCCACAGGTGCTTGTTTTTGCCATCACACCCCTGGAAAGTCTTCCTGGTTTCCCTGCCTATCACAGCCCCAGTGGAGCACGACTCTAAGTGACAGTCAAAAGGGAGCAAGCAGGAGGTTGTCCTGCAAAAGCCATCAGGGCAACCACAGCCAAGCCTGAGGGACACAGGGAAGAAAAAATTACTGCCACAGCTTTGTCTAACAGAGATGGGATAAGCACCTAAATAACACAGTGGGAGAACAAAATCAGCCAAGCCTGAGGGACACAGGGAGGAAAAATTACTGCCACAGCTTTGTCCAACAGAGATGGGATAAGCACCTAAATACACAGTGGGAGAACAAAACCTCCACACTGCCCTTGGTCCTCACGTCACAGCTACTAAGAGGTGACACCCATTCACACTGCTTGAGAACAAGGCTCTGTCTCTCCCTGTCACCGATACAAGCACTGGGATTTCCCCAGGGACAAGTAACCAGCTTATCAGAGCCACCAGCACTTCCCCGGCAAGCCCAGCACATTGTTTGAGGAGGAGGAGGAGGCTGCTCCCAGCACACAAGACACTGCCCATGGGGAGTCCTGGTGACTCCATCCCGCAGGCTCAAGGCCACGGCCACGTGCCACTGAAGCCAAACCAGGCACGCTTGGCTCCTTCCTGGCACCACTGTCACTGCTGTGTGGGACAGATGGTGTCACTCAGCCTCGCACCACGCTCTGTACCCACCCCACGCCGCAGCACAGGAGACAAACTCCAGCAAAGGACACGGGCAGGGTAAGTCACTGCTGGCCTCCTGCCAGGGCCCATCGCTTGGTAACCACCACGACTATGTTTGTTGTTTGAGGAGGAGGAGGAGGCTGCTCCCAGCACACAAGACACTGCCCATGGGGAGTCCTGGTGACTCCATCCCGCAGGCTCAAGGCCACGGCCACGTGCCACTGAAGCCAAACCAAGCACGCTTGGCTCCTTCCTGGCACCACTGTCACTGCTGTGTGGGACACATGGTGTCACTCAGCCTCGCACCACGCTCTGTACCCACCCCACGCCGCAGCACAGGAGACAAACTCCAGCAAAGGACACGGGCAGGGTAAGTCACTGCTGGCCTCCTGCCAGGGCCCATCGCTTGGTAACCACCACTTTAAATACAGAAACAACTACAAGATGGCAGGAGCGGGTCAGAAGGCAATAGAAACCCAAGAGCAATCCCTTCGGGGGGGCTCGTGTTTCAGTATAAGTTCTCATCTCCCTCCCATCACTGCGTTTCATCCCCCCTCCCCCCAGTGCACAAGTACACACAGGAGCTCGTTTAACAGCCATATGGATCCTGGACTCTGATCCAGGCAGAATTAACACACCATGCCCGCCTTGCCTCATCCGACACTGAGCAAGACCCCACCGAGAGCTCAGGGGCTGCCAAAGCAAGCCCCACACAAGAGGAGGCAGAGGGATGCCTGAGGCTTATTTGGCAGACGATTTCTTCAAGTGACCTTCAAATGACATGAGCTTAAAAAAAACAACAACAACAAACACCGTGGCAAAACCCAATGTGAACTACAAGAACATACTTTCTTGGGGCTTGGCTTTCCAGGAACTATATACCCGCATCTCGTATGATCTTTGAAACCATCTGGCTCTGGCAAGAAAGTTCTCTACAATACTTCCTCTGTCCCAGCTCTGGGGAGGTCTCGTAACCGATCCCGAATCCTGGCTGAGATAAGAGCGACCTCTCTGAATCACCAGAAACTGCCCCACGTCAAGAGGTGGACACAGCCCTTCCAGGATGTCCAGCCAGAGAACTGCACTTGTGCTGGTTCCAGGAACCTCCTGAAACCATCAGCTTTACACCCTGAGCTCTCCCAGCACAACTCTACCCTTCTGTCTAAACGCCAACAGAGATCTGTTCCCAAAACGTTAATGAACCAAAAACCTCCAACCAAAAAGCCCTCACAAAACACCATCCCAAAAGACCTCCTGCCCACAGAAGAGCCAACGGCAGCTTATATCAAATTGTCCACAAACATACCAAGAAGTCCCTTGGGGGTTTGCAATTGCACGTTTCCTTCACACCATGTGCTTCCTGTCCAAAACAAACACAGAAGAGCAGCCCAAGGCAGGGCTGCACCTTCGCTGTGTTGTTAGAATGTTTACTCTACCCGACCTCTCTGAATCACCAGAAACTGCCCCATGTTGAGAGGCGGACACAGCCCTTCCAGGATGTCCAGCCAGAGAACTGCACTTGTGCTGGTTCCAGGAACCTCCTGAAACCATCAGCTTTACACCCTGAGCTCTCCCAGCACAACTCTACCCTTCTGTCTAAACGCCAACAGAGATCTGTTCCCAAAACGTTAATGAACCAAAAACCTCCAACCAAAAAGCCCTCACAAAACACCATCCCAAAAGACCTCCTGCCCACAGAAGAGCCAACGGCAGCTTATATCAAATTGTCCACAAACATACCAAGAAGTCCCTTGGGGGTTTGCAATTGCACGTTTCCTTCACACCATGTGCTTCCTGTCCAAAACAAACACAGAAGAGCAGCCCAAGGCAGGGCTGCACCTTCGCTGTGTTGTTAGAATGTTTACTCTACCGCTTGCAGGTTGGTGTTTTTTTTTTTTTTTAATGCAGTTTTAAGCAAAAAGATATTTCTTTTTTTGGTACAACCCATGAGATGGGTTGAAGACTGTCAACTGGTAATTGCCACACGAGCCTAGAAGATCCTGGGTGGCTCCTTTACCACCATTTCAAGCCTGTGTTGGAGAGGTTTGCTCCAGCCCAGGATAAGTTGCTCCAGTAACAGCCAACTGTGAAAAATCAGGGCCAACCTGAGGCTGAGAATCTTCAACTTCTGGCTTTTGCTGATGCTTCTTCTGTGGATTTAAAGCACCACCAGAAATGCCTCTCTGACCTACTAAAAGACACATCACTGTGCCATATCAGCTTTGTAACCTTTGGAAATTAATCAACACATTAATTCCACGCTAATAAATGAAGTTCAGAGTGCAGCAGCAACACTTGGCACGCCATAGGTATCTTTTGCTCGTGTTTTCCACCAATGCTCCAGATTCAGGGCTCCCCCCTCCTAAGCCCCACGCCTACACGCACATTGTCTGAAGCAGCCTGGGGTTTAATTCCTTCACTCCAGCCCTCCGTGACCCTCTACAGGTTCATTGCCCTGGGAAGGGAATTTTCACTCCTGTGAACGTACAGAGATTTAATCCGGTTGAAGCAGGCACAACTTTTACAACATGCAGCCTTCACCAAACACTGAGAGGGAAGGAACACCCTGAACGCAAACAGAACACAGGTCTCACGCACGGCAGGAGCTGACGGAAAGACCAGCAAAAAAAAACAGGGCTAACAGAGCACAGGGTGTCACTGAAACAGGCAAACTGGCTGCAGTCTTCCCTTTTTATCAACACTACAACGTGGGCTTGGCTGGCATTAAGGACAGCAGGTCACAGCCCAGGTCTGAGCCACCAGAGCCTATGTCACACCTGATTCGACTTGGTGAAGTGACCAGGACCTGCCTTCCCTGCTCATCTGGAGGGGGCTGTTCCCACCCAAGAGATGGGACAATCTGGGCAAGGTAACAACAGATAGAAGCAGGAAGGACCCATGCCAGCAGCGTGTGAAGTGATTGCCTTGAACGCTTTCCAGCCTGACCTTCCACCCGTGCTGCAAAGATTTCTAAGAGAATGAATTAATGGAAAAGGAATGGAAACGGGAGTAAGCGTGAAGTGACCAGGACCTGCCTTCCCTGCTCATCTGGAGGGGGCTGTTCCCACCCAAGAGATGGGACAATCTGGGCAAGATAACAACGGACAGAAGCAGGAAGGACCCATGCCGGCAGCGTGCAAAGTGATTGCCTTGAACGCTCTCCAACCTGACCTTCCACCCGTGCTGCGAAGATTTCTAAGAGAATGAATTAATGGAAAAGGGATGGAAATGGGAGTAAGCACCAAAACACACAACAGGAAAAAAAAAAAGGCTGAAAGAAGGACCTGTGCTGGTAACAACAGACACGCTCCCAGCAGTAAATTCCATCAAAATCAGGAGGCTGCACTGCAAGACTCAGCACAGACAACTTGTCAGCTGAGGACCCTCCAGCCTCACACTAAAAGGGTGGCAGCAAGGGATGGTACAGCACAGCTATTTCAAACGTGTATTTCAATCAGGGGAAAAAAATTCAGCAAGAAGCAACCTAAGATTTATGAAGTCTCAAGTCAGCCAGATCTTGAGGCCAAGGGCCACCCTGCAACAGCTACAGGATACGAAAGACCTGCCCAAAAACTAGTTTATCATCAACAGCAAAGACAAAACTGAAGAGGCGCAGTGAGGACTTAACAGCTGGACATAACAGCAGTGCGCGCAACTGATCGTTGTAAAACCATTTAGACACGTCTTGCTGCTTCTGAGCAAACATGTAATTGAGTAGTATCAGGCTGTGCACAGATTTTGCATAATAAGGCCACCTTGCTCTTTTTTAACACCCTTTTTCCACCACTCCCAGATGACTCCAGGAACCTGTGAGGCTTGGGGGAGGAAATTCACAGATGTGGGACTTACTGGCTACCAGAAGCTGGACCCTGTGCTCGTGGTCTGTCTTGTTCAGCACCTCCTTGCAGGTGTAGTTGCCCTCGTCCTGCAGACGCAGCTCGGAGATGCGCAGGGAGCTGTTGTTCACCAGGGAGAAACGGACGTCTGGGGGGAAGGCCTCCTTGGAGGAGAAGAGTGGGGGGAACGAGTGCGGGTCCCCCTGAAACCAGACCACCTCGGTTGCTTCTTTGGAGACATTTCGGCATAAAAGGAGGATGGTTCCTCCGACCTTCCCGTAGACCACTTCCTCTGTTCCTGCAAAACAGAAGGGACACTGTTAGGGATGTAGGGAACCAGCAAAGCTGTCTTCTGTCAGCAAAGATCTGGACATGTGATATAGAATCATAGAATCATCTAGGTTGGAAGGGACCTTCAAGACCATCGAGTCAACCATCCAAACCCACCACTAAACAACATCTCCTAGCACCATGTCTGCCCATCTTTTAAATACCTCCAGGGTGGTGATTCCACATAATTGAGTAGTATCAGGCTGTGCACAGATTTTGCATAATAAGGCCACCTTGCTCTTTTTTAACACCCTTTTTCCACCACTCCCAGATGACTCCAGGAACCTGTGAGGCTTGGGGGAGGAAATTCACAGATGTGGGACTTACTGGCTACCAGAAGCTGGACCCTGTGCTCGTGGTCTGTCTTGTTCAGCACCTCCTTGCAGGTGTAGTTGCCCTCGTCCTGCAGACGCAGCTCGGAGATGCGCAGGGAGCTGTTGTCCACCAGGGAGAAACGGATGTCGGGGGGGAAGGCCACCTTGGAGGAGAAGAGCGGGGGAAATGAGTGTGGGTCCCCCTGAAACCAGACCACCTCGGTTGCTTCTTTGGAGACATTTCGGCATAAAAGGAGGATGGTTCCTCCGACCTTCCCGTAGACCACTTCCTCTGTTCCTGCAAAACAGAAGGGACACTGTTAGGGATGTAGGGAACCAGCAAAGCTGTCTTCTGTCAGCAAAGATCTGGACATCACTGTTAGGGATGTAGGGAACCAGCAAAGCCCTCTTCTGTCAGCAACGATCTGGACATGTGATATGGAATCATAGAATCGTCTAGGTTGGAAGGGACCTTCAAGACCATCGAGTCAACCATCCAAACCCACCACTAAACAACATCTCCTAGCACCATGTCTGCCCATCTTTTAAATACCTCCAGGGTGGTGATTCCACAGCTTCCCTGGGCAGCCTTTTCCAATGCTTGACAACCCTTTCGGTGAAGACTTTTTTTCCTAATAGCCATCCTAAACCTCCCCTGGTGCAACTTGAGGCCGTTTCCTCTTGTCCTATCACCTGTTCCTTGGGAGATGACACCAACCCCCACCTGGCAACACCCTCTTTTCAGGTAGCTGTAGAGAGCAATCGCCCTTATAACCCAACATAAGATATTTATCAACCCTCTGGGGTGCTTGCTAAGGGAACTCTTTTTAAAGTATCTCGGCGATCCCCTTCCACCAGCCCCCTCAGCACCCGCCCTTCAGGGGAGCTCCCCTCAGGAGCAGAGTGGGCTGAGGTACCGGCTCTAACCCTCGCCCACACACCGTCCCCGCTCCCTTCTCCTCAGCCTCTTGGGCGCCCCCCGACCCCGGCCGCCATCTTGGGCGCCCCCCGACCCCGGCCGCCATCTTGGGCGCCCCCCGAGGCCGCCCGCCATCTTGGGCGCCCCCCGACCCCGGCCGCCATCTTGGGCGCCCCCCGACCCCGGCCGCCATCTTGGGGAGCCCCCTCAGAGCGGCCCGAAGGCGGTTTACTTTACACCCGGGAGCCAGGCCCAGGGCTCGGGTTGCAGTCCAAGGATCGGGAAGGTTTTAACGCGAAGAGGGTGGTGTTTCCTGAGGTCAGAACTTAAGGCGGTGAGCTTCAGTGGGGCACAAGTCTTGCGAGGAGGAGCTGAGGGGGTGTTCAGCCTGGAGAAAAGGAGGCTGAGGGGAGACCTCGCTCTCCACAACTCCCTGAAGGGAGGGTGTAGCCAGGGGGGGCGGATTCGGTCTCTTCTCCCAAGAAAGAGGTGATAGGACAAGAGGAAACGGTCTCAAGTTACACCAGGGGAAGTTCAGGATGGATATCATGAAAAAATTCTTCACTGAAAGTATTACCGGACATTGGAACAGGCTGCCCAGGGCAGCGGTGGAGTCACCATCTCTGGAGGTATTTAAAAGATGGGTAGATGTGGCACTGAGGGATGTGGTTTAGTGGTTTTATCAGTGTTGGTTTGATGGTTGGACTCAGTGGTCTGAGAGATCCCTTCCAACCCAGACAGTTCTATGATTCTGTGATTATAATTCAACCAATTAGTGACACCCCAAGGAGTGGGAGCAGGAAGAACAGTGATAAATGACTATGAACCATGCCATGTTCCAGGGCTTGGACAAAAAAAAAATAAATAAAAAAAAGCAGGCAGCAGTTGTATCCAAAGCTGGAGAGAAGAGGAGTGCAGAGCAAGAGGGGCTGGGAGGAGGACCGGGTGGAGAGGATGAAGGATGAGCTTCTCCACAGCTGGAGGGGTCCCAAGGAAACAGACAGCAAGGAAGGAGAAAGGTACGAACGTTTTCAGTTTCTTTAAAGCCCTCCCTGGGATTCCCGGGTGGAGGTACCAAGGCACAGCCAGGCTGCTGCTGAATTTCGGCAGTGGATGTGTTAGGAGAAACTGCCCCAATTACAGGATTTATTTTGCTGGTTGATGCCAAGCGGACCCGATAGCCCTCATTGTCCACCATTACAGACAACAGCTTCCAGGCTGGTTTGTTATATATAATAATATATAGATTACTTCCCCATGTAAGGTGTGTAGGTACCCTTGGGCTCCTCTGGGACACCTTACCACAGGGGTGAGGCACAACACAGCCAGCTCTCCAGCAGCCATGGGCTAAGGCATGCTGAGATACACGGGGCTGCCCCCGCTGGGCCCTGGCACGTAAATTAAGCTAATTAATAGCCGGGCCAAGGCCGTTAAGCAAGGTCAATGCTGCTGTGTCTTATTGCTCTGACAAGCGCTCGGGCTGAGGAGCCCGCTGCAGCGCCGCGGCCGCCCGCTTGGGGGCGCCACAACACCCGGAGCGGGGGAAGGCCGGCGGTGCGCTGCAGCCAATGGGAGGGGAGCTTGGGTGCGCAGCCGCCAATAGGAGGGGAGCGGGGGTGCGCAGCCGCCAATGGGAGGGGAGCGTGGGTACGCCGCCGCCAATGGGAGCGCGGGGGCGGGCGGAGGCGGGCCGGTGATTGGGCGGCGCGGGCCCAGTGGTTGCAGCGCAGCAGCAGCAGGCGCAGCCATGCCGGTGGACCTGGGGCTGTGGAGCGGGCCGCTGAGCCTCACCGAGGTGGAGCAGAAGCCGGCGCACCCGCTGCGGGTCAAGTATGGTTCCGTGGAGATAGACGAGCTGGGCAAGGTGCTCACACCCACCCAGGTGAGCTGGGCCCGGTCCCCCGCTCGGGGGTGTGGCAAAATGGCGGGAGGCCGCCGGGCCTCTTGCGCCTTCGCTCTCGCAGCCCCCATCGGAGCCTCGCCGGGTGCGGGGGAAGGAGAGTGGTGCGCTGCGTTGCTATCGGCTCTTGTGCGGGGGGCGGCGCGGTCGGGCCTGGCTCCGTGTTGCAGGGAGATCCCGGAGGCTCTCATAGGCTGGGGGCGAGCTGGCTCGAATGGCCTTGAACTCCTCGGGTGTTGCTGCCAGCGATGGTCGCAGGTGGCCTCCGTATGCCTGGCTGGCGCAGGCTGCGGGCAGCAGGGCTGGCTGCTTGTGCTATAACGCTGTCATCCCTCCAGGTCCAGAACCGCCCCACCAGCATCGAGTGGGATGGCTGTGATCCTCAGAAGCTTTACACCCTGGTTCTCACAGACCCAGATGCTCCCAGTAGGAAGGACCCAAAGTTCAGGTAACGGGGGTGGGCAGCTCCCTGTCTTGCCTGGGGAAAATGGAGCATCCCTCTTGGTCTTAGCAGAGGCTTAGAAGGAGGTCAGGAACGTGCTCTGCTCGAGGTGCAGCAGTGAGGCTGTGGGTTGGGATAGAAACAGCGTCCTTGCATCTCTCCTTGAGACAGGGACAGCACGGGGAGGAGCAGCTGCTTTTGCCAGGGGTGTTTGGAGGTCTGTTGTAGCTTGGAGAAGCGCAGCATCTGGTGCTTGCTCTAACATGGCACATGTGCGAGTCAGAATTAGGTCTGCCTGTGCCAGCAGGGGAGTCTTAAACCTGGGAACAGCTCACCTTTCTCAAATCAGGTTCAGAAGCGTGTGGAATACCCACTCCGAGGGGTCATGCTCTGGGTTTGCTGGAGCTGCCAGGCAGGAGGACAGAGCCCTGCATCCAAAAGGAGGCAGTACTCACTCTGGGGCTGGTGCTTTTTGGAACAGCAGCCACCCTACGCCGACAGCTTCATGGGAGAAGCAGCTTGGAGTAACAAAGTGGCTCTGCTGGGGCCGTGCTGCACTCTTAATTATTTTCTGCCTTCTCTTTTCAGGGAATGGCATCATTTCCTGGTGACCAACATGAAAGGCAACGACGTGGGGAGCGGGACCGTGCTGTCAGATTACGTCGGCTCCGGCCCTCCCAAAGGAACAGGTCGGTGCCCGGCTGCGACGGTTCCTGTGCGGGGATCAAACATGGGGGGGTTGAGGGGGTTGCTACAGAAAGTTGGGGTGCTGTAGTGGGACACGAGCTGTTGAGGTGTCTCCAGTGCATCTAGAGCTCCTTTAGCTCCATCATATTTGGTTTTCTGATCCCAGACAACGCTGCTCCCAAAGGAACAGGTCGGTGCCCGGCTGCAACGGTTTGTGTGCGGGGATCAAACATGGTGGGGGTTGAGGGGGTTGCTACAGAAAGTTGGGGTGCTGGTCTCCTGTAGTGGGACACGAGCTGTTGAGGTGTCTCCAGTGCATCTAGAGCTCCTTTAGCTCCATCATATTTGGTTTTCTGATCCCAGACAACGCTGGTGTCCCCCCTGAAGTGACCCCAGGGGAAAGGAAGGGGGAACGCGGGTTCCCCGCGTTCCCCCTTCCTTTCCCCTGGGGTCACTTCAGGGGGGACACGAAAATTGTGGGTGATGGACCCTGGTGACACGGTGTCTCCCCACCATCCCGCAGGGCTACACCGCTACGTGTGGTTGGTGTACGAGCAGCCCAAAGAGCTTTCCTGCAACGAGCCCATCCTCTCCAACCGCTCGGGTGACAAACGAGGGAAGTTCAAGGTGGCTTCTTTCCGTACCAAGTACCAGCTGGGGGTGCCGGTGGCGGGTACTTGTTACCAGGCCGAGTGGGATGACTACGTGCCCAAACTCTACGAGCAGCTCTCGGGCAAGTAGGGCCTGGAAGCAACGCTGTGCATCCCCCCCCCCAGCACACATCCCTCTTGTTTTGTTTAATTAATGAGTTGAACCCTACTGCTCCTGCACCTGCTGATGGAGCTGTGTCCCTCTTGAGTCCCCCCCCG